GGGGCTAGGGCAGGAAAATTGCTCGAACGTGAGAGGTGGAGGTTGCTGTGAGCCAAGATTGCACCATTGCGCTCCAGCCTGGGCAACAAGAGTGAAACTCCATCCAAAAAAAAAAAAAAAAGAGCAGTATGGCTACATTCTGGAACAGCAGCTATGTTGCATTGTGAGGGGTGAAGGACTCCTCCTGTCAGGGCCACCTAGACTCCCCAGAGCCAGAAGGCTAGAACTGAGTTGCCCAATCTGCAAAAACGTCAGCCACCTGTTCCCCCGGGAATTTCAGGTAGTCTCCAGTCTGCTGCACTGGCCAACTGGAATTCTAAGTGAGTGGGTCTTAGCTTGTGAGGTGCAGGGGAAGTGGGGCCTGCAGAATAACACTGCTTGGCTCCTTGAATCTCCTAGAGGAATGTAAGGATGGAACTCCCACCTTGTCAGGATTCCCAGGGCTGGAGACTGAAAAACTCCTGAGTCCCTGTGTGAGCCTGAGTGCCTAGTCTGCTGAGACTTTGCCCAGTTCTGTGTATTGGACAGAAAGCCCTGGTAGCTTGACCTCACGAGGGGATCTCCTGATCTGTGAGTTGCAACGATCTGTGGGAGAAGTGTGGTTTCCAAGGCAGGGTTGCACAATCACTCACAGCTTCCTTTGGCTGGGGATGAGGGATCCTCTGGCTCTGTCCCACCCCTGGGGTGGACCATCGCCCCACCCTCCTTTTCTTCATTCTCCATGGGTTGAGTTGATTGCCTAATGAGTCCCAAAGTGAAAACCTGGACATTTCAGTCGAAGATGCCAAATTCACTCTCCATTTTCATTCCTCTCCATGACAGCCATGGACTGTAGTTGCTTCTAATCAGCCATCCTGGCCCCTCCCCATTTCTATTTTATAAATAATGGGAAGACAATGCCCTAAATGAAACTCCATGTTATTTATCGCTGCAAATAGTTTAGCCATTACTGCTATCCATTAGTCAGAGACATTTTAAATAATTCTAACACTCTTTGATCCTTTACCTGAGAAAAGCAGTTTAATTAGGACTTTTATTTTTCCAGTGGTCATAGGCACCTTTATTAAAATAAAGGGCCTGTGTTTATTTAAATAGAAGAATTACTAAGAAAGAACCTGGAAAATTACATTGTAATAATTTTACCAAAACTCTTCAACTATTTCTATATTGATTTAGGGAATTAAGTTAATTAGGTTAGATAATACTAACTCCCAGAACAAATATTGTTCTTTGGATTAGCAGAGCAAAATCTAATTGCTGATCCTGTGATGCATTTCTTTTGATGCTTTGAAGCTATTCAGTAAAAGAAGCAAAGCACAGTGTACACAGCATAAAGTGCTTCTTTTAGTCTTCTGAGCCACCTTACTCCTCTCTAGCTCATCAAATAATTAACTGGCGTTAGTTTCCCTTTTTTTTTCATATTTCCCTTTCTTCCTAAGCAAGGACTATGCAAAAAGTTGTGTGGTTATTAGATTCATACACTATTTGTGTACTTATTGTGATCTGAGATGTTAAATGATTATATAGTGGTCAGGGTGATGGCAGCAAATTGTTGGCAAACTCAGATGACCAAAAAGAATAAAAGCACTATTTACAAAGATATGGGCAAAATTAATGGAAACCAACATGGGATGGTGAAGCATCCCTGGGTTAGCAACTGTGGGAAGCCATTAACACAATTTGGCACAAAAGAAGATACGGAAGGAAGCAATTCCTAGAGCAGGGAGTGCTGCCAGACCCTGGAGAGAGTGCTGTAGCTAATGGAATGAGAAGATGACCAAACTTAAGGAAGGTATCTGCTTTTAAACCACAGACAGTAGGATGATGACAGGGAATAAATCCTTTAACCACTTCCTTCCAGCTCCTTGAACTCCAGCTGGTACCTCCTATTGGCTGAAACCAACCCAAAGCCAAAAGCTCCTGATTAATGACCATGAAGATCATTGTCCAGGGGCACAGATAAAGATAGAGAAGTGTAGAGAATGGATCTGGCAGAGATTATATGATTATTTGTATGTGAATCATTGGTACTAACATTTTATGAAGATTAATTGAAAACTTTTGGGAGCAGAATAATATCCTACACAATACAAGAGTACGTGGAAGATAGTAAATGTTTGTAAAATGCTTGCTGAATAAATAAAACTTAGACTGGACTATAAGCATTATATACTTAGGTTTCTGAGGTCAAGTCTAGAACAGGTTTTTACTTAAACTCTTAACAGTGTAGGCAATATCTATTACATCAGGCGCTTGGTGAAGGATTATCAACTAAAAAGGTGGCTGGATAAATACATGGGTGCATAGATAATCAGATGAAAGTATAGATAACTCATAACATTTTATATACATTAGGAAACTTGAATGTAAACTAGTCCAACTGTTTCATTTTGCAGGTAAAAAATGGAATTTCAAGTTGATTAAAAACACAATATTGCAGAGTTAGAACCAAAAAAGTCTCATGACTCTAACCTCTTCTAATTAAATATGCTACCTCTAATTTATAGTTTACAATTTGTTTCACTCAAATAAATTCAAGAGATCTCTTGTATAACATTGTGACTACAGTTAATAACAATATATTGTGTTCTTTTAAAATGTCAAGAAAATAAATTTTAAGTGTTATCACCACAAAAAATGATAATTATGTGAGATAATACATATGGTAACTTGATTTAGCCATTCCACTATATATATATATAATTTAAAACACCACATTGTACATGATAAATATCGACAATTTTGTTAGTTAAAATAAAATAAAATGTTTTAAAAATTGTACCATTCAAATCAAAGTCAGTTACTGATGATGATGATGAGAGAGAGATAGGAAAAGCACAAGTATCAGCTCACTTAGCATGATCTATGATTTATGAAACATGTTTTCTATACTACTGAAACAATGTTGAGGAGTCTACTTGTTTCTCTGTGACCTAAGTCCACAATGAACTTGCATCCACAGAAAGTATTTGAGAATGTAGGTCTCTAGAAATAACAGTACTTTAAAAGTTGTCATTAATCAATCCATATATATACACACACACACACACACGTATATACCTGTCTAATTATCATTATTCAACTAAATCTTCATCTTATTTTTTATGAAAGTACAACAAAAATAAGCTTAACCAATGCCAAATGTAAAAGTAAATTTCTTTGTCATTTCCCTAAACGTAATTACCATCTTCCATTTTGGAAAACTTTAATGAATTCTGATAGATGGGCTGGGTGTGGTGACTCACACCTTGGTAATTCCAGCACTTTGGGAGGCTGAGGCTGGTGCATCACTTGAGGTCAGGAGTTCGAGACCAGCCTGGCCAACATGGTGAAATCCTGTGTCTGCTAAAAATACAAAAATTAGCTAGGTGTGGTGGTGCAGACCTGTAATCCCAGCTACTTGGGAGGCTGAGGTAAGAGAATCGCTTGAACCTAGGGACCAGAGGTTGCAGTGAGCCAAGATGGGGCCACTGCACTCCAGCCTGGACAACAGAGTGAAACTCTATCTCAAAAAAACAAAAAAAATCTGATTGTTGAAACACAAATCATTAATTTCTCATCTGTAATTAATATTAATGTTTTAGGTCCATACTCACATGAAAAATTGTGCCTTAAAAAATATTAAAACATTTCTTAATAATACTAGGTTTAAGTTTGCCAATCTTCCACATATGCTACAAAGATGATTTTAGTCTATCAAGATGTTTATTGTGTATATTTCATTTTTTGTTTATTTAAACATTCTAAAATTTAGATGCAAACATTGTTTAGCAGCATCACTTTTTCAGTGTCTTGGATGCAAGGCACAAAACTGACTCTCATGACTTTAAATATATTATCTGTGTAATATTTTAAAATTTTGCTTTAGAAGCCAGGAGCTGTGTTGGAAATACCATCTACATTTAATTTTAAGTGTACTGAAGAATAACACTTTTGAAACCTGTAATCTATATTTAAGTGAAACGCCACTGTAACCAATCTTTGAAATCCAAAAGTGTCAATCCATTAAAATGCAGTTACTTTGTTACAGTTCAGAAGTGTGAGGAGTTGGTGACAGGATGCAAATCCTTCCCAAACTGATGTGGCATTTCACCACTTAGTGGCGCTTGTTCTCTCTGGCCTAAATAAGGATAGGGCAATTCTGGGCCCTATGGCGAGCACAGCCGAATCTCCAGGTGAGTGTCCATTTAGTGGGCCTGGTGGGAGTTTGGCTAGGAATATACAGGGACTTTGGGAGCCATCGTCCACTTCCCAGCTTCCCACTACCGGTGGCTTGTTAATTCCTGCGCATCCAGGTTCTCACCTGGCAGAGGACTAGAACTCCACTCTGTCCCCCACCACCCTGCAGCGGGGGTAGTTGGGGAGGGGAGATTGGCTATTGGGCAGAGGAAAGCAACCCATTAGGTCCAATTTCGCGCCTTTTTTGTGTGTATATTTTTACTATCAAATTTGGTTGTGATCATCAACTCGATAAACTTGAACCAGGAATATGTCTGTACTTTCAGAATCAATTAGCGTGAGGTGGAAGTTCATGAACCCAAACGCCCAATATAACACCGAATTGGTGTAAAGATACCATCTTCCGTTCTTTAATATACCAATTGGCAAAGCAGGGAGAAACAGGTGTCCGTCCTAGATCACAGCCGGAGACTTCTCAGCAGGCCTCCTTTTTCGCAGAGAGCGGCTTTGGAAGGGGAGTGGGCTGGGAGGAGGCAGGGGACGCCGAGAAGCACAAATTCATGGCTCCCCCAGTGAGTTGCCCGCACGTGTTTCTGCGCTGGGTGACTCGAGGGGCCCAAGTTCTGTCCGGACGGGGGAGCGCGGGGTGGTAAGGACCTGGCAATTCACCTCGCCAGCGGCTTTAGTGTCGCCGTCCCGAAACCGCGGAGCCTGACAGCAGAGCTGTCCAGCGCCAGGGGGCGACCAGCCCACGAAGCGGGGACTGGAGGAGGGACCGAGGGACGCGGGGCGGCGGCTACTCTGCCGCGCTCCGCCCTTACCTCCAGGTAGTACAAGTCCACAGTAGTGATCTGCGAGTCCAGGAAATCTTCATAGGTGTTGAACTGAGTGACAATATTGTCCAAGGCCTTCAGACCCTCTTCCTGACCCATGGTGGTATCCTGGGCCGAGGCGTCCCTAGCAACGGAAGCAGGAGGGCAGGGTCAGGAGGTTCCACCCACTTCATTCCTGCCAATCAGTTGAAGCCGGTGTGAGCTTCGGACGTTAATCCCACCCCTCGGCGGTTTGTTGCAAAGTTTCTGGCTTCTGCCACACTCCAGAAAACTTTCTGGAATTACCCACTCCAAGTTCAGGTCAGACACCCATCCACCGACTCAGACTTCGCTGAACTGTTGAGCAACCAGAGAGGTGAAAACTGCAATCCAAAGTTAAAAAGTGTGACACTGCCTAGATATTTAGACAAAATATTAGGAATCAGCACCCAATTGCATTCTAAAACAATGTTATGCAAGACAAAAATACCGAGATATTTTGCAAAAAGAGTTATCTCAAAAACCAGTCTAACAAAATGGTGTTGTCACAAGGACAATAATAAAACAATGATTTTGTTAAATTACTTTTAAAGTTATAACAAAGGTAAATTATTGCTAATGTTTGTGTACAAGAAGCAATTTATGAAATTCCCAAAGGAAAGAAACTCAATCAAAAAAATATCTTTGGAGACCTTTTTTTGGCACCAATTTCTTGCTTTCACTTATTGTACTATTTTAGCACAGTGAAAAATTGTGCTGTGTTTAAGCTGCCCTTTTTAAAGAATAAAATGTCTGTGAAATCTTATTAAATAAAGTCTTTTACTGAAGATTTTTGGTTTTCTTCAGAACAGTATTGTGTTCTTAAAATATGAATTTAAAGTAATCCAACATAGCAGCTGGCAAAATATATTCAGAACCAATCTTTGGATTTTAATATTTTACAAACCATCCTTGGGAATTAGCATATAATACAATTCTAAGCCTTTAATTGTTGCTCTCTAAGTACATTTCTAATTCATCTTGAAGATTTTCACAGATTTGCTAACAAAATTTTAATGAAAACATCTGGTAAGATACTTCAGTTAGCTTTCCTAATTTAAAAAGGTCATCTTAAAAATTAGGATGTCATGAATTGCGAATTTTAAGTGATACACAATCTTTAGGGTGCTACTAACTTTTTTTTGTTTAATGGATGTATTCTGACATATTTTTAAAGATATTTGGGGCCTTATTTTTGAATGCAATTTAATTATTGAATTTGGGAAAACTAAAAGGAGACACCTTGGACACTGGTAACCCATCAAAAGTAATAACAGGCCAGGTGCAGTGATTCACGCCTGTAATCCCAGCACTTTGGGAGGCTGAGGTGGGTGGATCATGAGGTCAAGAGTTCAAGATGAGACTGGCCAACATGGTGAAATTCCGTCTCAACTAAAATTACAAAAATTAGCCAGATGTGATGGCAGGCACCTGTAATCCCAGCTACTCAGGAGGCTGAGGCAGAAGAATCCTCCTGTATCAAGATTTCATCACTTTTAAGAAACAGTAAAGCATCTAGAGAATGTTTGGGTTTATTAAAATAGAGCACTTTAATGAAAAGGATCTATATGTTAGTAAAATGTGAGGTCATGGTTTGGCTATATATTGTTCTATTATGATCAATTGTGATTGTGCATTTTTTAGAGAAACCTCATTAAATTTGCCATTTGGTCAACATCTCTTTGATGGAGTAATCTCTACAGCATTTAAATTTAAACAATCAGGACATTATTTTCAGTCAATGAGTCTAGAAATGTCTTCTAACTCAAAGCACGGAGGCTGATTTTCAACAAATCAGCTTCTCTATTAATATCGAGAACATTCATAAACTGATCCTTGTTCCTCGCAGTAAGGCTACAATCACTAGTAAGCATAACTCAACTGTCTTTTTCTAAACTTTCAATTTAACTTCAGAACCACTTCCAGTCCTGTGCCTGAGAAATTACATGAAAGGGTGGCAACCAAGAAATCAGTAAGTTTCAGCAAGCTTCTCTTTTCATTGCAAGGCCTTTGTTATGATCAAGAAATACTTTATTTTGGATAACATGCATTCCTACTTCAAGTCCAACATTTTTAAAGACTGAAACCTGGAATTTAGCACCAATCCCAGAAATTCCATTCTTTGCAAAAGGACAAAGAAGGATTATGTATTCATAATAAAACTCCAACATGTAAGAGAGCAGAAACATATGTTATGTAAGAACAACAAAATATATGCCAGATTTAAGGTACTTACTTGGTGGAAGTATATAAAAGAGTTTCAAATTAAGCTCTACACTTTTATATTCCAAAATGTTTGGCAATATACTATGATAGTTGAGAAAATGAAAGGAAAACATACTTTGGTTTGTTGACATGATAGGAAGGGAATGTTTTGCTTATTATGTTAATAAGAACTTGAGGTTCTGTTAAGATGTTCTATTAATATGTTATCAAATTGTACGAAAAAATATATATACTTACTCTATTAGGACAAGAGATTTGTGTCTGGTGTTGCCCAACTGCTTGTTAAGTATCTATGAATGCAGATGAGGGCTATTGCTTAATCATCAGCCAAGGAGAGCTTTTTTGCACTTAGTAATAATAGTGACACTAAATTTACTTGAGCTATTTCTTGTGATGAGATCACTGGACTTCCTCACAGTCTCAGTTATTCTAGGATGCTGGAGTTCTGGTTCCACTGCTTCTCTGTCCTGGAGACACAATGTGTTCATGTGTCATAATCCAGTAGTTTGCTCCTGCCTTGTCACTGACAGTGTGAAGGGAAAATTCCACAAGAGAGAAATACAAGTATAAGATGGAATTCCTTCCAGGACTGGGGTTGACAGATGTCTGCAGCTGATAAAGATTGAAAACTACTAGTGTGCGATGGGACAGTTGATAGGTATGATCACCACAACTACTATTTTGGAACGGAGAAAAACTTGGGCTCTCTGTGGCTCTCTAAGGCATTACCAACAACCTCACTGAAAATTCCCTCAAGATTTTTGGCTACATGGAAATCAGCCTCTACCCTAAAACTCCACTCCCCCTGAATGGACAAACAATCAGAATATAGCACATGTGAATAAATGGCCGCTACAATAAATGTGCAGCTGCCAGTCGCAAGCAGGTGCCCAGCATTGCCCTACAATCTACCATGTTATCTTTTTCTTCAATTCACTCTTGTTTTCCACTATGGCTTTTTCCACTTTCTCCTCTCTCCTTAATCTTATATCATCCTTTCTCAAAGGAGATAAACTTAACTCTTATACCCAAAAGAAGGAAGTTATCACAATAGATTTCCCTCAGTCAAATGCTGTATAGAAGCTTATTCACATTCATATCAATATTTTACTGCTTCCATTGCATAAAGGAAGAGATTTACCTCCTCCCGTACCTTCACCTCACAGGTTCAATCTCCTTCTGTCTTCTCAAGGTTTCTCATTTTAATTATTCCCTCTCTTTCTTGTTGTTAATTTCTCTCTCCTCTCCCTCCCCACCCCAGCTCCTTTCCGATTTTAAAAATAAGCAAATCATCCCAAAACCCACCCTCACCTCCACAGGCAACTTTAGCTATAGGCTTTTCTGCCCTTTACAGCAAAGCTCTTAGAAAGAGCTATCTACAATCACTATCTCCATTTCCTTACCTTCCACTTTCTGCCCAACATTTTCTAGTCTGTTTTCACTCACTGCTCCACTATTTTCACCAAAGTCAATTATGACATCTTTGCCATTATGCTCAATAGACATTTTTTTTGTCCTCATACTACTTGACATTTAGCAGCATTTCACCCTGTGACCACTCCCTTCTCTTCGAAATTCTTTCTCTTAGCTTTTGTCACATTACTTTGCACTGAGGTTGGTCGGTCGGTCGGTTGGTTGGTTAGTTGGTTGGTTGGTTGGTTGGTTGGTTAGTTGGTTGGTTGGTTTTCCATTAGCTGTTTCTTCTCAGTTCTCTTTGCTAGCTCCTTTTTTCCTTACCTCACTTTTAAAAGTTGGCAAGTCTCAGGTTTCTCTCCTAGACCCTTTGCTGACTCTACACTTTTGTTACTTGGAACTTTCACCCACACTCATTGCTTCACTTACTGCCTTACATGCATATGGTTCCTCTATCTATATAATTAACCAGGTCACTCTTCCAATCACATATCTTACTGCCTAGCAGATGCCATTTGGATGTATAACATGTATAAATGAAATTTTTCCTCTTTTTGTGCCTCCTAATCTTGTTCCTACTCCAGTGTTCCCTCCTTCAACACACAGATTCCTCTCCTCTTAGTTGTTCATGTGAGAAACATGGAAGACAGTCTTGAACCTTACCTCTCCGTCACCCCAGAAATGTAAGGCCTGTTATTTCCATCTCTCAAGTACTTCTCTTGAAGGCTTAAATTTCTCTCCAACCTAATTGACATTGCTTCCTTGCCTAAGCCAAAGTTTGGCACCTAAACTCCAAGAATATCATCTTTTCTGGTTTTCCTATACTCTTCTGGCCCCTTTCCATTCCAGTCTTCACAATGTAGTTAGTGTTTGTTTAAAATCACGGATCTCATTAGGCCTCTTTTAAAAACCTTCATTGGCTCCCCATTACCCTTAGGATAAAATACAATTTTGTTTTGTCTTTTTGACATGGCTTACAAGACATTCCACATCCTGACCTTCATCTGATACCCTCTACTGCACGCGTTACATGTTCCAGCCACACCAGACTTTTTTCAATTTTGAAAGGAGCCTCCACTTCTTTTGCTGCTGAGTCTCAAACATACTGTTCCCTCTGCCTAGGACATTCTTTCACAGTACACACTTTTTCCATTTACCTATTAGCTCCCTATTATAGATCTAAGTATAGAGATTGAGAGATAGTAGTCTTATATGTTCCCAGAGCACTTTCTAATGCCCTTATCATTTGTTGCAATATCTTGATTATTGTAAAGTGTTTGACAAATGTCTGCACTGCTTATTAGAATCTATGCATATAAAGGCAAAGACTATGTTAACCCTCTTCACCACTATATCTTCAGCATCTAACATAGTACCTGGAACATAATGATCCCTCAAAAGTATCTGCTGAATAAAACACTTTTTCTATATATTTCAGTCATTCCTTTTGGAAACAAGGTGAAAGGCACTACAATCCGTATGAGGAATTTATCAAGATAAACAACCGAAATTTTAGCACCTACATTTTAGAAAGGCACTTAGCAACACCAATGTAATAATAGCACAAGTCAGAATTCTTTTTGATAAAGAGATATTTTGAAGCACTATGCAAATTCAGATGAGTGAAAAATTACTTCCAACTGGAAGCTGTCATGCAAAATTTGATGACATGGCCTTTGTGCTGAATATGAAGTACTGAGATGGG